CCCCAAAACCCCAAAACCCCAAAACCCCGCTGCATGATATTGAGTATGAATATTGATGATTAATAATTGCTAATTGATATATAAATTATAGATAGATAATGAGTAGTGAAAGCAAAATACCAGACTCTAATAGAGACATTTAGATGAATGAAGAGACTGTTGCAGCTGAACCCTAATCTGAGACTTTACAGTAGATAGAGTCTATGATAGGTTCCTTTGTCCAACTCACCTAGCTAGCAAACAAGATCCCATTTTTAGATTTAGATGAAGAAGATATAACTCAGGTGAAAAAGCTCGATGATGATCAGGGCTAATAGCAAAAACTTGTTAAAAAGAGAGCAAATAAGATTCTCACCCAGCTCTATGGACTTATCTAGTATGTGTAACCTGAGAAAACCAGTACGATAAACAAACTCAAGCAGAAAAACCCAAATCAAATTATTGCTGACTTAGTTGGCTCGCACCTTAATAGCTAGAACTATGAAGATCTGGTGCAAATAGTATGCGATGATCTAATTGAAAACGTCAATAAGTAGATAGATTTATTTAAGATTGAGCAGCATCAGAAATAGAATCCTGAATAGGCTAATACTTCAGTAGTTAACCCAGCTAGATTAAAGTCTGAGTAATTCTATCAGGATAGACCAAAAACTGATAATACGATTCATAAACCCTAGATCAAATGGTGGTCAAGTTTAGATAATAGTTACTATCCATTCATTCCATTACTTAGCTCAAAGCCCCATGGAATCTCATAGATGCCTGATGATATCATTAAGGCCTAAAATGATAAAGATCAAAATCCCATGAAGTACAGGTAGTTTTAATTCGGAGATCACAAATAACAAAAGAATTAAATGCAGTTATCACACCCTTATTATGATGAACTCGAGTAGCACAGTCAAAATGTTAGAAATATTGAGGCATCCCACTTAATTGATCCAGTTAAGCCCCTTTCACTAGAAGATACTCCGTTTCTGTTTGTGGAAGATGAAGATTAGCTTGAGGAGATGTATCAGATTTTGAAGAGTTCAAAGGATGTAGCTATTGATTTGGAGCATCATAATCACAGATCATTTTAAGGTTTTACTTGCCTGATGCAAATATCTAATAGAACTCATGACTTTGTAGTTGACACCATCAAACTAAGAAACTAATTAGGCCCGAAACTTCTGCCAATCTTTGATGATCCAAATATAGTAAAGGTATTGCATGGAGCTGATTACGATATTGAGTGGTTATAAAAAGACTTTGGTCTCTATGTAGTGAATATGTTTGATACTGGTTAAGCTGCTAGAGTGATGTAAAAGCCAGGCTATGGTTTGGCTTTCTTACTCTAGTCTTACTGTGGAGTTATTGCAGACAAAAAGTATCAACTAGCAGATTGGAGACAAAGACCCCTGCCTGAAGAAATGCTAAAGTATGCAAGAGAGGATACTCATTATCTTTTGTATGTCTACGATAAGATGAGACAGGAGCTAATTATCAAGGGCACCTAGGCGAATTCCTCCAACCCCAATCAATGTCTGAACTAAGTTCTTCTAAAATCAAATGAACTTTGCTAAAAACAATATGAAAAGCCAGTTCTCAAGGACTATAACTACTTCATGATCTTAGGTAGAAATAAAACAGCTAATTCTGTCAAGCAATTTTCAGTTTTAAGGATGCTACTTAAACTAAGAGATTATATAGCTAGATTGGAGGATGAATCTCCAACATATGTGATGCCTAACCATGTGCTATTTTAGATCGGGAAGGACATGCCCACTAGCAGGAGTTAACTTAAAGATAGCTGTAGAAACAACATGACAGGGATCATTCTTTAGTACCAGGATCTTATTATCAAAGAACTTGATAAGAAGCTAAACTCGCCTAAAGTAAAAAATCATCATATTAAGTTTGATCAAGTCACTCCTATTGAAATTAAACCAATAATAACTTCAAGTACAGCAATAAAGACTTCTACAGAGGAGATTAAAGAAACTGATGAAATAAGTGAAGATGAAGCATTAGGTGAGCAGATGAAGTTTGAAAACAAACCTCTAAAATCTTATAACATCTAAATAGTTCTTGAAACAGCCTAGTCATCTATTTTCCAATTATCTGGCAAGCAAACAACATAAAGCAAGAATGCTGAAAAAAAGAATAAGACTTTGCAGGATAAGTTTTAGTAGCTTTAAAGTTCGCTTAATAACTTCAATTAACTAGACATATTTAAGGCAATGACCAAATCAGAAGGTCTTCAAGTATAAACCAATACTTAGAAATAGTAAAAGGTTTAGCAAAAGATTGAAGAGGTTGATGAGAAAAAGCTCTAAGATATGCTAGGAAAAAGGAGTCAAAGAGAAAAGGATAATCCAAAAGCAGTGAACACCTAGTTAATGGTAAATAAGGATGAAGTTGAAAATCCAGTTTTGGCAATAACAACAGAGGACTACATGCCACTTGAACCCAGGAAGCAAAAGCAAAAGAACGACAGAAAAAGTGATGAACTACCTTTATCTATTAAGGAGAGATACCAGAATAGCAACAAAAGGCAGAAAATTGATGAGAAAGCTGATAAGTAAGTATCTTTATAGCACAAAGAGAAAGGGGATAAAAAGCAGAAATCCAAATCATAAGAAACATTAAAGCAAGAGGCTCCGGTAAAAAATGAAGAAAAGCAAAAGCCAAAATCAGTTTAGAAAGACTGGTCTGCTATTTATGGAAAGGCAGCTCCACAGATAACATCAATTATAGATAAATAGGCGAAAATGATTATAGAGCAGGAAGATAAAAATAAGAAGAATAAAGATAAAAAGGCTAATAACAATAGTAAACCTCAAAGTACCAAGTAGGACGACATAAAAATTAAGGGTAATAAAAAGGAAAAGAAGCCGAAATATTACTTAGGTAGCACGTTAGGAGAAAAGAAAGGTACAAATTTCTGAGTTAGCTAAGAGGTATAGATAAAATCGAAAATCCTTAATTAAAAATTCTAAACTTAATTTAATAAATTCCAAATACAATTATATCTGCCCATGAGGGGTTTTGGGGTTTTGGGG